GGAGAAGAGACCGAGCCCCACCTCACTACTAGCATATAATAATTAGGACCACTCCAGCCTCAGAAAACCCAGACACTGCCATGTCTAAACACGTGCAACTTGGTTGTGGTCTACACTGATGCCAAAATGTGCAAATCCAAACTAATTACATCCCGCAGCTAAGTGATTCTCCCAGCTCAACGCATGTCCCAGCACATTAGAGATGAAGCCTCCTTAGCTGTTTGACCATCTGTTTTCCAGCTCCCTCTGGTCCAACTGTGGTGAACTATGGTGGGGTTAAAAATATCCTGTTACTTCTTTAAGCTTTTGTCCAGTGAGGGGATGGATCCAGTGAGTTGCGGATGTGATCCACAACCCACTAAAATCAGTAGGTTCCTTTTCTTCCTCCACCCTCCCTTCCTCCCTTTTTTGGCGAAGGGATAGAGATCATGCCCTGCTTGCTTTGCTACTTTTTTGGGGGGGAAAAAGAGATGCGTAGCTTAGGAATCAGCCACGGGTCATGACGTGGCCCCTCCAACCACCACCACCTCCCTCCCCGCACACGGCCACGTACGGCAGAGGTAACCAACGCACACCTGGTAAAGCGAACTTCACAGATATTGCACATATACGGCTTCTCTCCCGTGTGGGTCCTCATGTGCCTGGGCAGCTTGCCAGCTCCCATGATGACTTTGTTACAGATGGGACATTGTTGGGATGCCTTGGGCTTTATCTTCCTCTCTTCCTCCAGGGGCCATGGGGGAAAGACTCCTCCGAACTGGGTAGCACTTAGGAAATTGAGATAAGCACTGTAGTCAGTCTCTGCCTTAATATGCCCTAAGGGAGCTGCTGGGGTGTTGGTAAATATGTCCTTGAAGAAGTCATTAGGGAAAGGAGGCGGAGGCAGGTCTTCCTTCTCCTCCTCTTCCTTAATCTTCCTCTTTTTGATCACCAGATCCAAGGGGCCGTTGTCTACTTGTGGCTCCTCGAGCTGGGAGAAGGAGCTAAAATCGCCGTTCCATAGATGGGGGAAGAAGCTAGGGGTGAAAGGAGAGAGAGCTGGCCTCCTTTCTGGGATGTTCGCCTTAGGGTACAAGTTTTCCCTTAGCAAGGACTCGATGGAGAAGTCTCGTATCACGCCCAAGTGTCCAGAGGAGTTATTGGCTGGGTAGTGATTTGGAAAGTCTTTAGGTGCTTCTGTGTATGCTTCTTCGGTAAGATCAGACTTAGAAGGGCTTTGGTGACAGCTTACTTCTTGGACATCGGTTAGGTTCTCCTGATTGACAAAATCTTCCACTTCTTCCTCCTCCTCCTCTTCCTCCTCCTCTTCATCTTCATCTTCGTCATCATCTTCGTCCTCTTTGTCATCTTCCTCTTCCACCTCTCTGTCAGGCTCCATGATTTCAAGGCATACGTTGATAATGCACTGGATCTCCAGCATCTTGGCAGCGCTAAGGATGTGCTTGACGTTTGAGGTGGTGATGGTGAGGGTTGAGGTGTAGGCAAACTCAAGGATGGCAGAAAGTGCTTCAGGCTTGACAAAGTCAATCTCGTAAACATAGGGCTGGTCTGTTAAAGTGCCAGTAGTGAAGAGTTTTTTGAAGTACTTGCTGCAGGCAGCAAGGACGGACCGATGGGTCCGGTACTCCTGGTCCTGTACAATGAGGATGACATCGCAGAGGAGACCATCATGCCGCTGCTCATTTAAACCACATAAGACTTCACTGCTGTGGTTCGGGAATGGGATCCCAATAAGATCTTCAATGCCATTGGCCATATTCTCATTTAGTGCCCTAGGACAAAACACAGAGAGTAGAGCATTAGCAAGGGATTCCCAATCAATAATACCAAAACAACCCTGCCTCCTTTCCGTGTCCTCTGCTCCCTTGCCTTACTTGGACCTCTGTAGTCACCTCCCGCTTGCACTGCCACTGTCACCTTCTCCATGCCATGTCATCTTCAACTCCTTCCAGGTCCTCTGTGATTTAACCTCTGCTTCCCTCCACATCTCTTCGTCTCCTTCTTTGTCTCCAACCGTCTCTTCTCAGTTCCCACCCTATTCACCTTTTCATAACCACCACAAGCTCCCTCTTCTCTTTCACATCCCTCCCCCCGGGAACCTTGTGCAATGACTCCCTCCCCATCATGTTCCTTCCACATCCTCCCAGAGCCAACATCTTTCCAGGCACATGCCGGATTTGCCCTGCCAGGA